ACCAACGGAAAAAATGAATTACAAAAGCCTCAGTAACGTTTTTGGAATGTCGGCTGGATCAAAAGGGAGTTCAGGCTACTCGCCTGTCAGCAACGCATTAAGATGAAAATCAGCTAGAATCATTCTCTGACCGTATACATTTTTACGAAAGATTCATTTCTAAAAAATCAGTCACTACAACACCTAAACAAGTCATTATATTCTGATGTTGGTCGCAAATGGTTCACACAACAGGAAAAAGGTAATTTAATTTAATTTTTATCAAAAACGTTAAAAACTGTCTGAAGTGCTATTGGCAGAAGTGTATTTTGTGCAAGTTTTCTTAATTCAGGAATCCTTTCCCCAAGTCATGTGCAAGTTGAATTCTGAATACGGAAGTAATAAGCGCTTTTGACAAGAATTGATACGAAAATATTCGCTCGGATGTAATAATGTACGTTGTTTATTGTGATATTAATGGAATTGTGTAAAATATAAATAATATAAAATTGTAAAAAATATGCTCAATAAATACTAGATTTTACTGGCCCTAATTTGACTTTTTTCTTTCATAAAATCCTTATAATTAGTATTGTGAATGTTTTGAAGAATTAACGCAGGGTACGTGAGTGAACGTTAAAATTCCCACGTAGCTGCTTTAATTTATTTCAAATTTTCCGGTTACTTCTACACTATTGGCTGTCCATTTGCGTAATAGAAATCTGTACAGAACACAGTGGCGCCACCAAAAGAAGAAATAATGTTTCTTGATGTCTTAGTTCCATCCAGGGTAATTTTTCTCTCTGCAAAAGATAACTGCATAAGATATAAGCTACTTATCACCCCCCCCCCTCAAAGATGTAACAACACGTGCTATCAAGAATTATAACAGCTGGTAAAGGCAATTTGTGATAGTACATAATGGCAAATATGGTTATTGAAGAGGAAATTGTAATTAAAACGGAACTTGTATGTGGTTTAGTATATCTGATTTTCTTTAAATCGTAAATTAAACCTTAATAAAACTTATGATTTTAGTCCGACAAAGTGCTTCTCTGGGTCATAATTAAATACTCTAACCTAAACAGTTGTGTTGAATGTGAGGAAATAAAGAGAAACAAAATATATGAAGCAGAAAATGAATTGCAAATTTAGATCTTCACCTTCACCAATGTAATGAAGAACCAGTTGAACCTGAATAGACACTTTTGAAGATTATATTTTTTTGGTTCTGTTTGTAATGTAATGTGATTGCAGTTTTTATGCTTTGTGTAAATACTGTTAAGTCGATGTTGGGTTTTAGAAAGAGGTATCTATTGAGCGGTCGGCCAAGAGGTTATTGAAAGCCACTGTAAATTCCAGAAGGTGTAAGAATATAACATTACTAATGTGACAGTTATCAGAAATTGTCAGGAGGTGCTTGTACAAATACTTATTATTCTATTAATTAATTTGTTTAAATAATTTACCTAAATGGTCAAGTAATAATCCTAACTTTATTTGTTTGTTGAATATAGTTTTTTACTTGTTTATTAGCTGATGCATTTTAATATGCCCTGTGCTTCTAGGATGAAGATGAGCCCAGCCCAATGCCGTATTCAATAAAGCAAGAAAATATAGATGAAGTGAGTGCCATTATTCTGTATTAATTTATTTTTAAAAATGTTTGATTAGTTACTATATCGGTGTAGAAAGTAAATTCTTCTGTGAAAGTGTCATATGTTACATAATGGTATTGTAATGGAGTAATAGAGGACATGCTTGCAAAAACAGTTTAATCAAGAGTTTTCAAAAAACCAAATTTTGTGCTGCCATTTATTGTAGAGATGTAAAGTATTTCCCGGACGTGAGCTATCTCTGTCATGCGAGGGGTAACTTGGGCGAATTTTGACCTCAGGCCTTATTTCGTGTATGTTTCTGTTTGAGAATGTATATTTTTGTGATTTTCAGTGCCTTACCCCTAAACTGTCACCAACAAAATCCATTTCTTGTTTTATGATTGCGAGCTATTTGTCAATTCTCAGAAATTAATTTTATATTGTCGACCTATTTGAAGTTGCAAAGCTCGCATGCACCCACTTATGTCAGACCTGTATTGACAAGCAAAGCCGGCAGGGACATCGCCCATAGGGACCTTCTGATAACCTCTATTTCCTATAGTACAATTCAAGTACGCATGTTCAACTTATAGGAGGATAAATATTGCTGATTTATTACAAATCACCAGAAATAAGTCTTGGTGTAAGTTCTCCCCTGGACTGTTCTAAGGTTAATACTGCCGGTTTGCTTCAAGAATTGATATCTAAATTCGCACAATATTTACATTTAGAACTAAAAAGAAACCAATTCCAAGAAAGAAAAAATAAGCAATGTGTAGTAAATTTGTTCTGAAAAACATCCTATGAATCTGGAAACAATCAAATAGAAATCACATTCATTGTTTGTTTGTAAAGATAGTGTGTTAAAGTTGATTGCAGAACTTTCCACATAATTCTCAAATTAACTATCTGTCTAATTACTGTGTGTTAATGTTTATTTTGTATTAAGCGAAGGAAAAAATATTGATTCTACAGTAACTATGTTTGAATGAAATCATTGGATATGCAATACCAAGTCTTAACTTAAAAAGGGAATATGGTGCACTAGCATTGAACAACAGAGAAAGTTTGATAATCTAGCTGTATATTTTGAAAAGTTATTAAATTGTACAAACCCACAGGAAAAGCTAAGATTTAAATTTACAATGCACAATTCTGACTCTGTGCTACCAGATGTAGACAAAAAAATAACAAAGTAAAGAAAGGATAATTGCAGAATTATGGAAGATTGTAGATGACGAATTTATAATAGTAACAACTAACCTTTTTCAAAAAATTTGGACTGAGAAAACCATTCCAGAAGATTTGTTTTTCGCCTTAAGCTATCCATTACATAACATTACATAACAAAGGGCCAAAAACTGATGTCGTTAATTATGTAGGGATCTCGTTGTTGTTTGTAACATAAAATATTTTCCAAAGATTTTCTACATAGACTTAAAACACAGATCAAATCGGTACTTGTTGAGTTTGAGACTGATTTCAGAAGAAATAGGGCGTGTGCAAAACAAAATCTCAGTCTATAATGTATATAAAAATCTTATAGCACTAGGCCGAAGAATATCTTTATTTCTTTCATCGATTTTCAAAAGCTTATGATTCAATGGATAGAGAAACTGTTTTTGTCGCACTATAGGAATGCTAGGTTGATTAAAGAACTATACTTTAATAAAACTTGCAATGAATAAAATTATTTCCGAAGTTCAATTTCTAGGTGAAGTCAGTGAGCCCTTTCAAATAAACACAGGGCTAAAACAAGGGTATCTTGTGGATTGCCAATATTTTTTAATGTGGTCTTGGATAAAGTCATACGAACATTTTGGAAGAAGAATGATTCAGGGTCAAAAATTGGTACCCAGAACCTTGAAATTAAATGTTTAGTATTTACTGACGATTTAGCACTGTTTGCAGAATCAGACCAAGAAGCTAAGTAGCAAATTAATCAATTAAAAGAGACAGCGTATAATGCGGGCTTGCAGATTTCCTTTTAATAAAACTGGAATAATGACACGGTCATAAAGACACCAAGAAAACAGTAAAAACAAATTATGGTAAAGTCAATGTTGCTAAACGATTTAAATATCTCGGAAAATTAATTATCAGAAATGGGACGGATAAAAGGGCTATTGAGATCAAAAAACTGAAATTGGAACGATTAAATTTTGCAGATAAATCTAACAGAATTAGCAAGTGAAACCTACCGAGATTAGAGACCTATTAGAATTGTTGGGTTATGTTCCAGCAATGCACCATATTCACTGAGCTTTTCAGTCTTAACTGCCAGTTATAATAGTGCCTGATCCACTTATTTCACACTTCGATTATCTCTAGGTTTTGGGCCTCTGTGAAGGAAATATTTAAAATAGTTAGTACTGGACCACAGTAATGTTACAATGATGCTGAAACTTTAAGATAAAGACTATAAGTAAATGCATTTTATTTTCTGTTACTTTTTTTCACCCCCACACAAATGGTCAGTTTATTACAATTTCAGCAAAATGTTAGTTAATCTGTTTTTGTTTACATGTCTTCAATATTTTTCTTTTGGATATTCTTTGATGAATTTTGCTCTCTTTGTTCACTTTACTGGATGGTATCTGTCATACATTTCATACTGTCTACATTACATGGAAACTCTTTGTTTTACATATTTTATGGTGAAATTCATCCCGTCTGTTGTGTCACTATGTGACCAATTTTGGTTTATCATAGCGTCTGTCCTGTAGAAGTCTTGCCAGACTTAAGTCTTTCTACTTATGTTCCCTTATCTCTGCTTCCAATTCTTTCATAATGGGGAATAGTATTTTGCACTTTAAATCTTTGATAAGTTTTGTCTGCCTCATTAGTACATATCCTAGTCTTGTTGGCATATATTTCGGGACTCCTAGCACTTTTCATATATGGTGATTTTAACATTTCTAACATTTGCATCTGTTTTTTTGTAATTGTTGTCAAGTTAAGCTGTTTATATATGTGGCCATAGGTATTCATTTTACCTCGAACAATTTCATCCCTGTTTTCTCTCTTTCTTATCTCACTTACGCTGCTGGGAGCAAGCTTCCATTTGTTAATTTAGATGCATTGCAAGTATTACTTTGGTTTGTATTGTTACTCCAAGGTATCTTGGTGTCTTCATTACTTTTTAACCTATCTCCATTTAAGTTATTACTTCTTTAGGTGTTTTTTTTTCCTTCCTCTTCTTAATATTGTTAATTCAGTTGTTGTTTTTATATTTATTTCAAGTTTGTTTTCGACTTTTCATTCACTTAAGTTATTTACTGCTTTCTGTAGTTGTGTACTTCTTGATGCAATTGCTACATCATTAACATACATGTATGTTTCCACACAAGTTGTTTCCTTCTATGTTGCACTTGCTAAAACATTCATCATTATATTGAATAGAAGTGTGCTTATAGTGTCCCCTTGTAGTACTCAGATCCTTTGTCTTCTTTCTTTCGATGTTGTTGCATTGAATTGCACATATGTGTAATTTTTGGTGGCGATATTAGTTACTATCCTTGTAAGCCATGTCTTTCTGGTTATTTCAATCAGTTTCGCTTATTGTAGAGCGTCCCTCGCTGATTCAAATTGTTCTTCGACAAGTATTGGTTCTATTACTCGCATTAGCTTCCTTTCAATGAGTATTGTAAATATTTCGAATGTCGTTGCTTCTTGGTACATTAATTAGATTGTGGCTGTGCACCATTTTTCCGGAATTGTACCTTTTAGACATTTGTTCTTTAGATTTGTCCATTTTTCCACTAGCAGCGGTAATGACACTTGATAGCTTTCTCAACTTCTTTTATGGTGATTGCTGTACATGTCTCCCATTCTGTTTCCACTATTTGTGGTCTCGTTTTAGTTAGTTTATTCAGGTTGTATATACAAATTCAAATATATAAGGTATACAATACATATACTCCGCAACAAGCTGAGGCTAAAGCCTGTGCGTGAACCCTCATATTGCATTATGTACATGATATCGCAAAAGCTTCGCATAGAACAGTTGTAAATGAATGAAAATAGAAAAAAAAGAAAGGTGCCAATTTTATAAAGATAAATAGGGGTTGTCTTTTTCGTAATATGTAATGTGGTTCAATTTTTGCTTTTTCAATTATTTTATTTCTTTCATTCTCTATTTCTTTGGTTTGATTTTGTTTAATCAATATTGTATGTTAATCTCTTTCTGTCGTCTATTTTAATGATATTTTCCATCTTTGTCATTTTCATTCTTCTTTGGTATTCAACATGTTCTTTTGTGTGCAATAACATCCCTTACTGAACCGTATTGTTGATTTAAGTTCTGTTCGTGGTATTGCGACTTCTATATCATTTGCTTCTTGTATATTGTGTATTTTGTGTGCCAGTTGGTGTACATTTTCCATTTTAAGTTTTCTTATCGTTTATTTTTTGTATTCCTTCTGTTATGTAACATTTTCCTTTTGCCTTAACGTTGTCAGTATGGGGATGTCTTTCTTCATTAGAGCATCATTCACATTCCATATGTTTTTGTGCACAGCGTTACATCTATTGTGCTCTTCCACTTGTGTGTGATGCACGTTTCCATGTTATGGGTGTTGACTAGGGTTAGTCCTTTAGAATATTTCAAATGCTTTTAATGTTTATTACTCCAATGAAAGATTGTGTCAAAGTGTTCACTGCAACCACTGTGCATGTTAAATACGTCTATATAACTAATGAGTTAATTTTATATAGAACTGTGATTGACAACCACTAATAATATTCAGAAACTCCCCAAGCACACTTGTTATTAGTGAAGTCAGGGTTCATTGCTTTGTTTGTGTTTTGAAAAATCACATTTAAAGCGTCTTTTCCTAATTGCTCAGTAGTGTTTCTTACTTGAAGTTGTTGAATTTCAGTTGATATCTGAATTGTAACTGCTCTCATTTGCATTTGTGATGTCTTAATTCTTAAAGGTTAAGAATGAATGGTTAATTAGTGTCAATTTGTCACATTTCCTCAGCTTCATGAATACTTGATTTAATATGATCTCACATTTTTGTTAAATTTTCATAAACAATTGAGTTTTTTTATAATCTTATTGTGAATACATAGTCGTAGTAAATTCAATTGTTCAGAGAACTGTTTTGCTGGTGTTAATATCAACCATTCAAGGTATATGTTAAATCAGAGCTGGATTTCCCTATTAGCAAAATTAGGCATGGGACTCACAGTGTCCGGATTTTTTTAAATAAATATTAAAAATATCATAAAATTCTTCTATCTGAATAATCATTAATCAAATAGTTTACTGAACTACAATGTTTGATTTAAAAAAAATAAATTGAATGGATCAATAGGAAACCAAACATTTATTTGTAAATGATAAATTTCAAATTCAATTTCTACTTTGTAAACAATTTCTTAATATACATCTGTATGGAACAATGATTTATTAGGTCATAATTAGTGTATTTTAGATTTATTCATAATTAGTGTTTTAGTTTTAAAGATTTTTCTGAAGGAGTGCCCAGTATAGTTTTGTGCTTGAAAGCCTTCAGTATCTAAATCCGCCCATGGGCAAATTTAATAATTACATTTTATTGAAATTATAATAGGAATTATATATTCAGCCTTTGGTATTTTTAGTATTTTATTAGAAACCCCTTTTCTCTTTAGCACTACATTTTATCCAATTATTTGCATTTCATGATGAATAGAAATGCATTTTGAATGGTTTTCATATCTTATTTTGAAAACATTTAAACCTCTTCATTTTGAGTTCAACATCAAGACAAATGATTATTAATGACTATCCATGTGGAAATCTCTTTTGAAGATTTTATTTCCAACTATGTTATAATTTTATTATTGAAGGTCTCAATAATACAGCTCTCAAAATTGTATGTTGCGGTAATGTTCTTTCATCAGCTTTAGTTTGATAGTACTTAACACAATAACCTGCTCTAAATCAATATTATAACATAATATAAAATTATACTGAAAACTAGCAAATAGTTACTATGAATTATACAATCGCACCGCAGGAAATAATATGGCACTTTGCAATTGCAAACATAGTAAAATTTCAGTCAAAACTATTAAAACATTAAAAGTTGATCACGCAGTTTAATTAACTAAGCAAAAATGAAATTGGGGAATAACAGAAAAAAAAACAAAAAATTGTGATGAGAAGGACAATAAGGAGCAGTAGGAGTCAAGGATTACGATTTCTGTCAAGTTAAATATTAAGTTTTATACAATAATGAGAACCAATCTGTTGATATTGTTGTTAAGCAATCGAATAATCTAAGGTTTGTGTCCTACCATTGGCTCATGTAATTAAAGGACTAAAAATTAGAGAGAAACAAACATTAAAAAAAATATTTTAAAACTTTTTGTTACGTCACTGTTCTCGTTATATGGGGGAATTATTTCGCTATCTCTAGAATTCTGCTTGGAAGTAAACATATCGCCAATTCGCGTAGATTGTGATATTTACCGCGTGTCTGCCAGGCCACGAACAAAATGATTCAAAACAAGGAATCTTTGAAGAAGCTTTAGCCCTGAGCAGTCATGCCAATCTCAAGGACATTACAGCGTTGCCCAATTTACTAAAGACTTTTCGCCTTAGTCAAAAATGGAAATTTTTGCCATTATTAGCGATCACTGTACAAAAATACATAGATATGTCTATATTGTTACTTTTTTGATTTTGCCCGTACTAATTGCGTAAAAGTGCTTTTTTATGTTCAATCTCATGCTTCAATTTTTCATTCCGTGACCACGCGATCTGTTGGTTCTAGTTAAGAAAATAGTCAAAAGTAGCTCTGTGTTGTGTTAAAATATTTTTATTTTACATCTATGAAACAAAATTATTTCGAATAATTAAATAAAAGTCGGTATAAAAGTCACTATTTTCTTTATATATGACTCACAAGACCCACTTATCTCGCAAATACATATTTTTGAACGTAATATGGACTATCTACTAGGGAATATCTCGCTCTAACCACCTTAAATGAAATATTTAAATAGGAATACACTATTTTAAATGTTGTATGTCCTAAATGTCGATAATTGTCCCTCGCCGTTTTCGAGAACAAATTACCAATTCCCCATAAAACCAATGGTCACAATCATTGGCAAGAGTGTAATGTGTGCAGCATCGCAATCGGGAAGTGCTTGTGTTCGAGTCTTTTCGATGGCATAGTTTTGACATGCGGGCATCGAGACAGCCAGTGTTGCCATATCGGCGGAATTCCCGCCGTTTTCAGCGGATTTTGAACTCGCACGGCGGGGGAAAAAATGAGTTTCGCGGACAGCGGAATAAACGGCGGGAATTAATAAAGTTAGTAAAGTATCAGTTTTCGTTAATCTCTATTAATAAGTTTTCTTGCACAGATGTATATTTTGAAAATTTCTAACTCCATGTTTCTAGCAAGAATAAATAATATAATACTTATACAATAAATTATATACTACCTGAAATCAATTGTCATTATTTTGCAAATTTTCACCCAAGTAATGCATTCTATACTATCTAAAAATTGAATTACAGGTTCAATAAAGCCACTATATTTCGCAATCATATTTTTGTTTTAATAGAATAAATGAATACAACATTTAAATATGGAAAAATAATTTATTTTACGTTTAGCGGATTTAGGCGGGAAATTTAAAACCAATTAGGCGGAAACTGAAATCAACATGGCGGAATCTCTCTAAACACATCTGGCAACACTGGAGACAGCAATCCAGTCGTTATAGCAGAGTTCTAGTGACCGTCTGTCTTGGTAGTTTTGATGGCTTCTCCGTTCAGTACCGCGCGAATGACGCAGCAGTATTCAACCAAACATACGGTTACTCATGCTGTACTTTCCCTATTATTCCCTCCTCCTCCACCCTGTACACACACACGTACACACACTCACATTACACTACCACCCATGTCGGTAGTCCAGTGGTGCTTCGTGCTTTTCCCCTCTGGTGTCCACCTGGGTTGCAGAATCATTCCAAAACGCATTTGGTGTTGTTTGGCACGGAAGAGGTACCAAGAAGTATTGTCATTTGCACTGTGATTGCCACAGAAGAATTGTTGAAATTGCACTGTATGTGTTGTACTTTGAAAGGATATTTTCTTATTGTTTGGTTTGTCACACTTTTGCTTTGGTTGTGCAGGAGGAGTTGGAACCTCCAGTTGCTGTGCTCGTTGAGCCAATCAAGAAGCACGAGGAAGTTTGTTTCAAGGAAGAGACGGTAAGAATACTTACTATTAAATAAAGTAAGATATTCCTATTCACTCTGCTTATAAACAATGTGCATTGCTACTTTAAAACCAGTCTTGAATTGTTTTGTAAGCAGATAACTCTGATCTACAAAAAATCCTTTTTGTCCGCTTCTAAGGAAAATTTACCTATATCCCACTGAAATCAATGCACTGATTCCATATCTGAAATCAGATTTTATCTACATTTCACATTTTTACATTCTTGCCCTTACTAACGTAAGAGGGGGAATTATTGTGATAGTGCACCGGAAAGGCGAATTTAAAAAAAAAAAAAAAAAAACTTTAATTGCCGGGCCCTGGTAAGGAAAAAGTGGATAAATCCAGTTGCTTAATACAGAAAAAATCCTCTCACGCGTTGTAAAGCCGGAATCCATGTTTTGTGCGTCCTTCATAACGGAAAATTGATTGACTGCAAAAAGTCTGTGCACAGCGCTAGCGCATAAACCGTTCCGCCTATTTATATCCCCCAATCGTTCTATATTACCATTTTATTTAATCGTGCTCTTGACGTAAATCAGCTGTTACAGTTTCATCCAATAGGCAGCTTCTATATCTCCACAGTAATGTCATTATGGGGACGTTCAAGCTCTCAATTGGATGAAATCGTGAACAGCTGGATTACGTCCAGTGCACGGTATTACTCGCGCAACTTTTCTTGAACGATGACCTTGATCCCCCTCCCTTGTGCAATAAACAGTTGAAGGCAAAAGCTCGCAGCGGGCACTGGTGACAACCTTCCAAGCATTAAAACTTCGTTGGCGCGAAAGAGAAGCTAGTCAAAGCCAGTTGCTTTCATAGTGCAGAACCCCTGTTCAGGTTTATTGACAATATGGAAAGAAATGGCTGAATCAGGTCCAGGTCCTTCAAGGCAGTCACCTAAAACTCCCGAAAAAGTTAAGCACAAGATGCAGTTTTTTCATTTCACAGTCGTTATTTTCATTACTTAAAATATTCTAGTGTCCGACTTTGTAACTAATACCCCCACTCCACCCGAAATCGTCAATCCATCGTTCAAGAAAAGTTGCCCGAGTAATAAATGATCCTAGTATAGATCCTATGTCGCGGCCACTGGGATTTGAAGCTGATATTTTAATTTTGAGAGTACTTTACGTAAAGCCCCAGGGCCATTTTCAAAATTTAAGAAAAAATCTCTGCAAATGTTTCGGCTAAATTTTGTTGTGGAAAGGGCGCTTAAGAGAAGTGCAGAGCCGCCCGTTATCACTGGAAATAAAAGGGAGGTTCGGCACAACAGCCCTCGGATAGATCGCCCAAGGACAGCCGCCTGTTTTTGTTTTTTATGTCAAAGTAGCCCCGACCAATGCGTCCGGTGTTGCACCGGTCAAAACGTTTCTTTCGCCCAAAAAGAAAGTTTCCAGGAGGCACCTCGATGTAGCCACCGACCACTGACAAATGGGCAGCACCGCGCGTTTTGTGTTGTATCTATTTGTCGTCAAAAGTAGTTAAAAACTATGTGGCACAATGGGGGGGGGGGATGTATTCTCTGAACGTTTTCTTAAATCTCGGCGTCCCTATTCTAACCCTATACATGTTGAAGCCTGAATGCAGATATATATGAGCGGTTGTTCTTCGGTTACTAATGAGAATTTGAGAACATTTTCTTAGGTGTGAAAACGCATGGAGCATTTAGCATTACATGTTCAAACAACGAGTAACGTGTAATTCGTTTCAAAACGAGCATATTTACAGAAAATTACAATATTATAGTATTTAATAATTACTATTATGTATTTTTCGAAATATTTGCATTTGCTTGCCAGCGCTACCAGTGTTACTGTGTTTCGAAATGTATATACCAAACGAATCGTCCATTGTTGCTTTAACATCGCAGCCATAGAGTAGAGATATATCTCTCCTCTGTGATCGCAGCGTTGCCAATAATACCCTATAGCACTGGTAGCCGCCACCACAGCGACCTCAGCCACCGGTGGATCTAAAGTTGCCACCTCTTCGGGTTTCACCCGGAGACTTCGGATTTCGTGACTAATCTCCGGGCTCCGGGTTCACTGCTTTCATCTCCGGGTAATGCACAATATTGAATGTACTACGCGTTCAAATGTTTCTGATTCTTAGCGGGGTATTGCCCATTCCCGTAGGGAATACTTACGTAGAACGGATTTTTTCAATTATGGGAAACATTTGATCCGATTTGAGAAACAGGATGAGAGTCGAATTAGACAAAGCAGAACACTACAAAACTAAACTATGATATGTCTTGCGCCGAATTTCACAAATTCATAAACAATAAGAAGCAAGGATGCTCACTAAAGGAAGCCGTTTCATATGATATATTAAATTCAAAGGTGAAAAGTGAATTCAAATATACTTGGAAGAAAAGTTAGTTTTAAAAATTATTACAGAAAAGTAATATAGAGATTCTATTTTTAATGTAATAACTTATTATTTGTTTTATAGATTGTTGACTATGGAAATGTAATTTATTTGATTGTTTCTAAATTAATAAATAAAAATTATGATTGAACAATTAAAAAATGTGTAAATGGTAAATAAAACATACCCGACCCCCTCCCTCATGAAAATCTCCGGGTGAGTATGTGTCAATAGGTGGCAACTCTAGGTGGATCAAATTATTTATTAACTTTTATTTTTTTAACTTTCTCGAGTATTGATTACGCAGTGTATGTGAAGATTACATTACACTTCGGATGTGTTTGTGAATTCACTGAAAACTTTAATACAGGGAATTCAATGCCAGAAATGTATTATTGATTATCAAAAAGAATAATAATGTTTATTTTCACAAAACAGTGATATACAATAAATTAGTTTACATTTGTATTGTATAGTTTTTTAAAAAATTTAATGTGTTTGTAACAAATAATATACTTCAGCTTCCGGGTCAATGACCCCATCTCGATCAGGTTTTTGTCGTTTCCCTGATCCATTGAGCAAATGCTGAGTTTTGCTTCTGGACTGAGCCCCTTGTTTTCCTTCTGAACGTAAATGTAGCTTCACTATGTGCACGTTTTGTTGAATTATCCTTTGGCTTGTAATGGTAAGAGTAGCGGTAAAGGCGAGTTGCTGTTTTGTTAGCAATGCAGAGAAATCATTCTTTCAATTCGTGTACATATGCAAATAAGTTTTCTGAAACGAAAATGACTATTTTTCAAACATTGCTAATCTTGGGATTTTTAATTTTAATTTATTTGTTTTTTACTGAATAATCTATTTTCATTTAAACTTTGGAAAGAAAAATATTTTTTCGCTCTTAGTCTTTTTACGAGATAAAATGAAATTGAAAGTTTAAGAAAGGTAGAAGTCTTGACATAATATTATAAGAAAGTACTGCGCTATGTCTGTAACGGTCATGGCGCAGGCGCACACCTGGACATGTCTCGAGGAGACATAACTTTATTGGAGGTTATGCGCCAAATTTAAATTAAGCGGGATAGCAATGTAACTTCTTATGTATGTTTATATGGCATGCTGCATGATATATTGCATTTCAGATATTGTAGTAATTCCATGCAATGCAGATGTCAGTCATTTAAAAAATATATTCCTTTCATGGAGCTAGGAAAACAAGGACATAGCAATATGGCTTGCTTCAAGACTGTGACGTCATGCAGTGTCCACAACGCTTGTTGGCGTCCTAAGGTTGAGGTGCGTTATTTGTCTTAGTTTTTAATATTTAACATCTGTGGTTATATTAACGAGCTGTCGTAACAGTTCATGGTTACTTGTGTGGCTTAGAATAAAAGGGTGGAAAACTCCCCATGGGGTAAGGGCCCGATTAACGAAATTACTGTTTTCGACAAATTATTTGACCAATCTGCGATATAAATAGGAAGGTGTGATGGCTGATGTTCTGTGAGGAAAGTTTGGTATTTCCCGTGCAAATAACTGCTGCGGCAATGAGATATAATTTGAACTTTATTAGATTTAATTTTGGAAGATATTTGACAGATGTGTACATTGTTAATGAAGCAGTAAGTAAAGTCTACAACTAAGAGTAGGGATGTGTGAAATGTGACCAACACAATGCGCTATTAAATACTTTCTTAGTTGCCCGGTAGAAGGCAGCATAAATTATGCATTGCTTGCCCGGCTGGACGCAGCACTCATGGTGGGTAAATAGTTCTGGTGTGGACTTCTGTCACACTTGTAGAAAATTGTAGCGCATGATTATATTTATTCAGGCCCGGTCGCGACCCAATTTCCGGTAGCCAAACAGTTTGGTAAATCGTACTACTGATAAGGCTTGGAAAGCTTTTGAGGTGTGTGTTATTGTAGCCAGACAAATTCAAATTAGGGAAAGATAACTTCCTTCACAGGTCACCGACCAGCAGTGTTGCCAGATGCTGAATTAGGGAATGAAGAATCTTCCGCGCGAGCACAGCGCGACCAAAATTAGCGTGAAGCTGACAAGTTGAACTACCTTGACGGTTTCACTAGCCAAATCTGTGTATTATTTGCGCTTCTTCATTCGAAATAAGAGGAATGGCAAAAAATGTAAGAAAGTTTGAGGCGAAAATAGTTGATGTTTAATGATCGAAGAAACATTGCGGAATTTGTGTACATCGGCTGCGAATTTTACTTCAAAGAGGAGGACGAAAATGCGGAAATAGCGCAATCTGGCAACACTGCACACTAGTGACAAATTTCTCCTGCTGCACCGACAGACGAGTTGGCATTAAGGCTAAATGTCCCGACACTAGTACAATTTGTAACCACCACGTGGCAGCACCAAAATAAGAAAATTTACTTCACCGATAACGTCTGAACCAATGGTTCGATTTTCGATCAGTAAACAGCATTTGACGCCTTTTTAAAATAGAATTTACGCTACGATGACCTTTTTCAAAAAATCTAACAAAAACGCGAATTTGAAATTAGTTCTCAAACTTTCGAGAACAAATTTAAAAATGTGGACTTATAGCGCGATGGCGACATGCTTCTGGAATCCACCGCCGTGACAATCATGCAAATC